CACACACACACACACACACACACACACACACACACACACACACACACCTTACAAATGCTTCTCATGCCAATGACCATTGCATTGTTTGAGCCATTGTCAACACTGGAGGCTACACAACCCTAAGGCATAAACTAAATTTCATGAAGGGACGCAAACAAAAGCAACACTTTTATTCAAATAAATTTTATTAATTACAAGTAACGTATTCTCTAATTACTATTCCAAATATTAAATATCACGAGAGAAAAAAAAAGAGAGTACATTGTTATTTTGAATGCTTTAAAATCTACCACAGATGAGAATGTTTGAACAATAAGGAGGAAACGTGGCGAGACTGCGTGTGCGCTGGCAAACCTTCAGGTGCTAAATACTGCCATGCTAAAACAAAAAAAAACCTCAACGTGTCTTTAAAGGCAATGCCATTGTTTTGTTTTCACAGTGTGAGTTTTGTATTTTATCCCACATGAAAAACAGTTTATAAAATGCTAAGAAAATAATTGGTGACAGGAATGAAAAGCTGCTTCTTGGGAAATACGTAAGGAACAAGTACACAAATACTACAAACCAAACATAATTGTTTCACAGTAAATACAAAACAACTCGGTATACACGGATAACAAATACTTTTTTTTTAAGTTTATAAAATTTCATTTGAACATCACTTACAATTTTTATTCCTTTTATATTACAAGCCTGAACGCTACAATTTGAGCCGCAGGTCATTTTTACTTTTGCGACGCGTAATCCAAAATTATGAATGACTGCCCAGAATCTCATCCAGATTAATGTCTTTCATCCAGTCGTCGTTCCCAGAGCCAGATTTAAGCAGAGAGTCGATGAAGTCCGAGTCTGCATTGATACCTGGAACCGTGTTATCTCCCTCAGGAAGGAAGTCAAAGGTCAGACGGTTGGATCGACTGTTCTGGTAGCTGCTGGAGCTGGGACTGGCATCTGCAAAACTACCTGCTGGTACTCTCTGTTCAGGAGACGCCTGGTTCAGGTTTCTCATTGGTGATGGACAGCCCATCATGGCCTGGCTTGGTCTTGGCCCTGTGTCTCCTACTGAAGGATTCAGAGGGAGCATCCGGATCTCTGGTGCTACTTGATTGGGTGGGCTGATATGCCTCGGTTGATAAGGATGGTTTGGCATGTCTTGCGACTGTAGTGGGTTTGGTAGGCGCCTAACGCCGAGCCCAGTTGTCATTTGCTTGTTGCCTGAACCCCAGCTCATGCCGACATTTGTCATTGAGCCTCCTAGACCCTGCACTGCCACCCCGGAGGAATGCAAGTCAGCTGTCGCTCTCTGGTGTTGGACACCTGCTACACTGTTCATCCCAAAAGACTTTCCTTGAGTGTTCGGCCCCAGGAACCTTGGCTTATTTTGGTTCAGTTCAATACGACTATGGCAGTTTTGCTGTTGGAACTGTCTGATACAAGAACTCGTGTGACAGTCTGTCCTGATACCAAATCTGCGATCTGACGGCAAAGGGTTCATCTTTGAAGCAGGACCACTAGACAGATGGCATGAAATGGATTGTAGACTATTCTCAGGACCACTGCTGGGAGACTGGGAAGAGTTTTGACCTAAAAAAAAAAAGTAAAACAAACCTGGGTTACTAATGCTATTACTTGGAGAGGACTTTAAAAATATATATCACATTTGAATCCAGTACCTGTGAAGATATTTCCTTGCTGAACTCCCACCATGCTTCTCGACTGCTTATAATCTGGTGGCGGTCTTGTAAGATGTCGACTGAACTGATCGTGTGGGTTGTCTTTGTCCTGAAAGGAAAAGGCAGAGTTATGAACGCTGATTTCATGATTGATCTATTTGTACAATTTGATGTGACTTGTACACGGCGCTTCCAGTGTTGCTGATAGCAGGCTGCGGCTGGTTCACCTGTCTTTGCATGGCCTGGCTTTTAGCTGGGCCTTTCTGCTGGTTGTTGGGTGCTGAGGGCTGTGGTTGAGACTGAGCTGACATGACTCCTAGGCTTCCGTTAGTGAGCAGCCTTGCACCAGCAGAAGAACCCTTTAAAAGAAAAAAAAAAAATAGAAGACATTTTAGTATCATCATGTCAACTATCCCATACTTGAATAGCTTTATTCCCCAAACTTGATCAAGAAGCTTGAAAGGTGTCACGAGAAACAAAAGCAAACTGCTGTAAGTACTTGGGTTGACCACTAGAGAGCAAAACTCTACAAGAAATCACATCCGTGTCAAAGACGCTATTCAGTCTCTAAAATGTGGTCAAGGCTACTCCCTCTGCAGATGAAAAAGGGAGACACGAAAGAGGATTTTTTTTAGGAAGGGGAGTGGGTGAGAGTGGGAGAGAGTCCTCCTCAAGGCCTGATTTTCCCTTGATAATTGTGTCTAAAGAGAGTGGAAAGAATCCCTGAGACAGCAGGAAATGTGTGCCGACACCATGACTACTTCCATTTATCAGGCTCCTCTACTGATCTGTGTTGTGTTTGGCAAAACAAGATGTTCAATCCTCTAAATTCATTTGGCTCGTGACATAGCTGATTAATAGTAGATTTAATTCAGACATCCATGTTTGAAGTCTTTTCCTTGTCAGCTTTAGCAGAACGCTTTTTGACACATTCTATTTCCTCGCACTGCATATTTTCATAAGCTTTTTTTAGGCGGACCATTGACAGACTCCAAGTATAATTTGTCTTCTGTGGACACAAGGACACCCTCACAACGCTGAAGCTTCATGCAAGTGAAGCGTTTGTCATGAGGGAGGCTAATGTGCTCTAAACACAAGTCAACATGCGGCTGTATACACAGCGTCACTTCTCGTGTTGACTTAAATGTTTTTCAGGATGAAATGGGTAAAAATGAATATGTAAAGAGTTACAAAACAGCAGATTCTTGGCAGAACATTATCGACCAGACGTGATTCCCATAAGAAGAACTCAGAAAAGAGGATAACGCATTTATTTAACCAAGTTAATGGACTGTTCGAGCTGAGGACCCCCACGGACAAACGTGTCCCATCTTTGCTCGGAGCAAAGCTCCAACATCTTTTAGCTAGTAACATTGGGTTATTATTTGATTCCGATGTGTCATAAAGCTGTTTTCCGTGCCCCCTTCCCTCGCCTTTCCTATTCTTCTCAAGCTCACTGTAAATGAATACCACATGTGGCTCAGGCTCAGAGAGGGAACAGAGATCTAGCCTCCCATCATGAAGCAGTGCAGGCAGCTGACAGTGATCCAGGCCTAGCCCTGCCGGCTCTCACACTACACTTCCTCCAGTCTGGTCTCGGGATGCTGTCCCTCGGGAGCGCCTCAGCATCTGGACTTGGCCATTGCTCCCTTTCCCAGCAAACAAGCACTCCCTTCACAGTGACCTGTAAGCTCAGCCCGGTGGACCCCGCTCTTATCCGTGCAGAAGAATGCGGTGCCACATTATCATCAACTAATGTTTAGGAATATTTTCTTTACTGAATATTTGTTTATTTTCAGCAGCAACGAAAAATCTGTTGACGCTAAATGGAAGAAAAAGAAAGACTATAAAGTGCAACACAGATCTGCACCAGATTTAAAAACAAAACAAAAAAAAGTGAGTATTCACCGATAAAGAGTACAAGTACTAGGAAATACCATTACGCTTCTTACAATTACTTTAAAAATGTGTTCGTTGGCGATTCAAAAACAACTTAATGGTGCAGTTTTGGATCAAGACAGCCAACTAAAAACTCAATATAAATCTTCACATGACTGACATTGCCCCTCGTCTTAACTGCTCAACTCATCATCTGCAGCTCCATTAATCTGTGGGGTCCCTCAAGGGTCTATTTTAAGTCCACTGCTTTTCAATCTTTACATGTTGCCTTTGGGGTTCTTTTTTTTTTTTTAGAAAACATAACATCCCTTTTCATTGCTTTGCTGATGATATTCAGTTGTATTTGCCCATTAGGTTAGACAGGACCACAACATTGGAACCACTCCTGACTGATCTAAACAACTTTAAAGTCTGGTTAAATTTAAATTTCCTGAATCTAAATGAAAATCAAACTGAAGTCATCAGCTTGGGTAAATGTAATGCTCTTGACACTCTTGGCCCCTTGACATCATGCAGCTGTTGTGTGTTGTATTTCATTGTTAACGTACTTGTTTTTTTCCTGAGTGGCACAAGATATGTTTGTTTTTTTGTTCTTATTGTTTTCATTTGAATTTGACTAAACTGTAAAAGCACTTTTGTCAGCTGTTGTTGTTTTTATGTGCTGTATAAATAAACTGACATTGACATTGAAAGTCAGTACTGTGGTAATGGAACATGTTTACGAGTAAGTACACATACAAGGTATTGGACCATTAGCCGATACTGATAGGTACTGGTGTATCCTCAGAAAAATACAAATAAAAACCACAGTAATTGTACCTCTTTGGTTATCACTTCTCGGTTCAAGTAGCTTTAGTAGAAAAAAGACTGTTTGGTAAAATGTATTGTTCTAATGTGTAAAAAAGGAACTATTTACATTAAAATTTACTACAGGAGGAAATGATCCTGAGTGTTAAAAACTTGAAAAGGAACTCACTTTGAAAGGTTTTCAATAAATACATTTGGCAAATGTTTAGCTGAAATAAAAGCTATAAATATATCAGGGAGACATTAATAAAAAAATGACTAAATATTTTTGTTTTGGGTGTGCATTTTGGCATTTGCTTGCAAAAAAAAAGGTCAAAAGTAAATTTTGTGATTCGTTTTTAGCAAGTCAATACTATTATACAGCACAAAATTGAATTTAGGGATCTTTGTCATAATGTGCTTTAGTTTGTCTTGGAACTGTTCTGCAACTTTCTAAAGTAACTTTGTCTGAAAATCAACTACTAATGTCAAAAATTCTAGATTTGTTTCCCTAAATTCGATTTGCCCGCAGAGCTTATTCAGGTTTCCAAGTGCTCTTGTGTCCTCCATGGAAACCATTTAAAGTGACTGATTAAATGTTTTAGTGTAACTTCAGTCTTGAACGATTGAGGGTTTAAAGTGAAGCATGTTTAATAGATTGTTTCAATGTTTAGATAAGCATAAAACCTTACATGCCTGGTTGTTTAAAAAGGTTTTACAGTTCTGGTCAGGGGGAGTAAACTGGTTGTATGCTGCTGGTGGTAATCGGGGGTCGAGGCATTCTTTCAGGACTGTTTTTTTTTTCTTTGGCATTAATTTCAGCTCGCTGTGGGAAGAGTTTCCCCTCCTTTTTCTCCTCTCTGAATCCTCATTAGCTGCATTTTTAACCCTGTCCCTACTGACTGCAAAACACAAACATCATTATCTATATTTTTTTATATGTTCTAAAATTATGACCTGGCTGTTACTTTTGCATAAACTACAAATAATAGAATACTGCCAGTTTTTGAGCATTGTATCTACATATATATATTTGTTAAAATAAATTATAAAACAAAGGTCTTTGGGGAAGACGCCCAACCGAACCATTAACCTATTTAAACTCGTCTTTTTGTTTGTTTTAATTTATTTTGGACTTGGGAAGAACAATCTCTTTCTATCTATTTTACAAAAAACACGTTTAAGCAATTCCAATATTGAAAAAGCCAACTGTATGGAAAAGTGTTTGAAATATTTCTAAACCTAACTGTTTATTTTATTGGAATAATAATATCAGTGGCAAACAGCAATATTGTTTAAATGAGAACTTAGCAACAAAGTTCATAAAACACAAGTTAAAGCGAGAAAGTGTAAAAATACTTTATTTAGTATTTGCTTGAACTGCTGGGAAATGACTAATATGAGACATTTTAGGTGGAGAACAGTTCTTGTGGATCGGCCCTGCTCTGGCTTGTTTCTGATTCTCTCAACTGGAATTTCTCTGACTGCTGTCTACTGCAGGTAAGATACTAATTGCTCATAACTACTTAAAAACGCATCAACTACCACTGAAACCACTGTTTAAAAAATATTGTTTAATAATCAGGTCATTGTCGTCCACCTTCACTGGTAAAGTCAAACTGTTTTTGCCCATGTCTGTGGGTCTGTTCATTTGTCTGTACCGTTAGCAAAATATCTCATTAACCAATGGGCAAATTTTGATGGAACTTTCACAAAATTTGTTGCTCCTCTATAATTGATTAACCTTTGGAGTAATTTCAAAATGTCTGTCACAGACAATTGACCTAAGTTTTCTTATCTTTCCCCGCTTCTTCCTTTTTGGGTCGCGAGGGTCACTGGTACCCATATCCAGCAGTCACTGAGCGAGAGGCGGGGGGCACCCTGGACAGGTTGCAAGTCCATCACAGGGACACATAGAGACAAACAACCATTCACTCTCTCACTCACACCTAGGGACAATTTAGAGTTACCAGTCAGCCTAACATGCATGTTTTTGGTCTGTGGGAGGAAACTGAAATACCCGGAAAAAACCCATACATGCACTGAGAGAACATGCAAACTCCACCCAGAATGGCCCACTGGACAGGATTTGAACCAGGGACCTTCTCGCATAGAGGCAACAGCTGTACCAACTGGACCACCATTCCACCCTCGTTTACAACAGATGCGTAATTTCAGGACTAAAAGCCGCTTCTTTTTCACACGCTTTGAACTCCGCGGCTTATACAATGCTGCAGCTAATTTATGGATTTTTTTTTTCTGATGGGGCCTACCTACCAAACAGGTCACAGTGGATCAATGAAATGGGCAGGGGAGGAGAGAACAGGGATGGAGGGGCGGGGGCTTTGTCTCCCCCACTCCCCATTCTCTCCTCCCCTCCCTGGGGCACAATAAAGTATTTGCAGCCGCTCAAAAGAAGGGTGTTTTCACACTTGGTTCGGTTGGGGACTAATATTCAGAACATTTGAGCATGGACTTTGTTGTTATTCAGAACATTTGTTCACATTTTCAGCTGGTGCAGTTCACATTCACACTGCACTGAGTCAATCGAGCCAACCTGTCCCCCCCCTCGCCTGTGGTGGCGCTGCATCAAGAACTACTGAAGGAAACGACACAAAAACCTCTGAAGAAGACACTTCTTCTTCTTCTTCTTTTTCTGGAAATAAAAACGGAGTGGCATCATATTTGAGTGGTTTTATGATTTCTGTTTTGTCATTTTTCAACACTGGACTCAGCATGAGCGGAAGATGAGGCAGAAGACCAAGGAGAATCTTGTTTTTCACGCAAGGCGGCTGAGACTGCTCCGTATGAGGTAAGAGAAATGCACGTTTGTTTGCCCTGCGCTGTAGTCCACTTCCTGCTTTTGGAGCGGTCTCCGGTCCACTTGCTTTCACACTGCATTCGAACCGTGATAGGGTTCACTTCAACCAAACCGAAACCTAGGTATTTAGGCGGACCAGAGTTTGCTTTTTTGGTCCGCATCAGAGTTCGATTGCGCATTCACACCTCCCCAAACGAAGCAGACTTTCTAGGCAAATGGACTACAGTTTGATTAAAGCGGACTAAACAGGGCTGGTGTAAATGCACCTTAAGGGTGAATTGTTCATTAATGTGGTACACCAAGCTCAGTGGGAGGCTTGGATGACCGGCGGCAAGAAATTGTTTACCAAAACTGGCCACATGCAAAGAGCAACTTCTGCTAAAGTCTACCAGTGGATCCTGACAGCAGAGCAATTCAAAAATAATCCTCTATCACCAAAGGGCAGCAAAGAACAAGCTCAAAGGCGCAGTGCACAGAAGGAAGATGAAAATAGCAATCAATGACTTCCTAGTAGGCAACTCTATTTTATTTATTTTTTAATCAGCTGTGTTATCGGCACTGTTCAGAAAAAAAATAATAAATTTATTCATGTACATTACCGGTACGTAATTAATTTAAAAGTTTAAATAAATCTTTCTGTGTAAATATCTCGTGTTACAACGTGGACACCCGCAGCTTAAACACAAGCGTGCCCTATATATGTACGAAATTACAATTTTTTTGTTATTTAGTGGGAGTGGCTTATCAGGTGCGCCCAATAGTCCGGAAATTACGGTACTTTAAATGTTACAAATCACACAAGAGCTCTCAATATTCCAATAAATAACACATACTGTTATTTTCAAGGTTTGACCAAAATGACTAACGTCACCATTTCTCAACAAAGAGTGATTTTAATCTTACACTTTGGTGTGAAAGGTGGCGAGCGATATGCATTCAAGGGATGCTAGTCTTGTTCTGAACAGCTGACGTGCAATAGGACTAGTTATAGCTTTAAAGGCAGCCGTAACAACTTCTTGACAGGGTCGCTTGGAGACCTTTATTAAAACCTGTAATCTAAAACAAAATCGGATAGACCAAAATTAAATCTGCTGATTATCTCACTCATCACTCTGGACTAGTTAAAATTGTTGCACCGTGTTAATGGGCTGCCCGTATTGGTCCAGTAAAGCTTTTAGAGCTGTATCAGCACAAGCAGAAGCAACTGTAATTGCTGTTGTGGGTACGATTAAAATGTCATAAAACAGAAAGAGCTCCGCTGTATTTCTCACTGTTAGCTCTCGTTGTGCACTGACTGCTGCATTTAAAAACCAGGTCAAACTCAGTATCCAGCCTCTGGCTGCTCTCATATGCCAGTAAAACAGCTTGCAGAGGCAATATGACTGGAATCCTTGAACGTCTTCGAACAACAAATTACCCTCTTGTTTTCTGTGGTTTCAAACAAAACCCCAGATATATTTTAATTTACACACATTCAATGTGTTTTAATACATGTCAACCACAAAACCATTAAAGATATTCAAGTTTTTGACTAGTAAAGTCAAATTTGGGTTTAAAAGCTCTTAAGAGACCGTGAAGACAGCTGAAATTATCATTTGTATGATTATTTTGTTACATTTTTTTTAATCAGAGCATTGTGATGCGTTCGTCGATCTACCTTGTTTACTTTGATGTCTGCGTTACCCCCTCCTTTTCCTCCCTCTTCTCGCCCTCCCCCAGTCGCTCGAACACTTCCCTTGATCTGCAGAGTTTGAGAGAGCTCTCGTGTGTGGCTCACATTATCATTTTATACAAAGACAGCCACAGATAGTGTTGGTGCGAAAAAATGAAAGGGAGGACAGGCTAAATCTCTCCAATCATAACAAATCAGTGATTCAACCTCCGGCACCAGGCTAAGCAGATTACTGTCATTTTCCACCACTTGTCCCTTGTAGCTAACAACCTCCAATTAGTAAATCCCGCTGTGCATATCTGTGCCCTGACAGGGAGCCACCATGACAAGCAAAGAAATGAGAAGTCCTGCATGTTAATTTACCATGCTCTGGCAATCTGTGTCTTCATCAAAACACTTGTACAATAAATACACGCTGGATGGACTCGTCACAGCAAAGACACAGACATGAGAAAGAACAATAAAGTCCCAAAACAAGCAAGATCACATTATTCCTGTTTCAGACAGCAGGGTGGCTTCTAGAAGAAACACGAGGAAAACAGGAGAGAAAGAAGAGGAAGGCTTTGTCCACACAAAAACACGTCTTTTCTAAAACAGTTCTTTAATTTCTTGTTTCTATTGACCTCGTAAACACAGCACTGTTTCTAGAAATGTCTTCATCCACACATAAACTCTCGAAAGTTCTCCCAAAGTGCTGTAGAGGTGGGGCTATGACATCATTGTTTTCAAAATGTTGTGTTTTGGCCATCTATACAAAAACGCAAAGTTGATTTTAAATTATCCATCCATCCATCCATCCATTATCTTTACCCGCTTATTCCATTTTTGGGTCACGGGGGTCGCAGGTGCCCATGTCCAGCAATCACTGTGCGAGGGTCGGGGTACACCCTGGACAGGTTGCAAGTCCATCACAGGGACACATAGAGACAAATGAGACAAACAACCATTCACGCTCTCACTCACCAATCAGCCTAACATGCATGTTTTTTGGTCTGTGGGAGGAAACCGGAGTACCCGGAGAAAACCTACGCATGCACGGAGAGAACATGCAAACTCCACCCAGAAAGGCCCCTGGACCGGGGTTTGAACCAAGGACCAGCTCGCCGAGAGGCATCAGCTCTACCAGTTGCGCCACCGTGCTGCCTATTTTAAATTATTATTATTATTATTATTATACATTTTTCAACTCAACAGCACGGTGGTGCAGGTGGTAGAGCTGCCGCCTCTCAGCGAGAACGTCGCCGGATCAAGTTCTGGTTGGGGGTCCTTTCTGGGTGCAGTTTGCATGCTCTCTCTATGCATGCGTGGGTTTTCTCCGGGTACTCTGGTTTCCTCCCACAGACCAAAAACATGCATGTTAGACTGAACGGTAACTCTAAATCAGGTCTATTCAATTAACTTGCTCAGGGGCCGAATGCATCAGTTTGTTTTATGGTTTAAAATTTAGTGCCGAACTGAGCTCACCTGTGGGCCTGATTTGCCCCCGGGCCACCAGTTGAATAGCCCTGCTCTAATTTGTCCCTAGGTGAGAGTGAAAGAGTGATTGGTTGTTTGTCTTGTTTGTCTCTATGTGTCCCTATTATGGACTAGAAACCAGTCCAGGGTGTCCCCGTCTCTCGCACACAGACTGCTGGATATGGGTAGCAGTGACCCTTGTGATCTGAAAAGGAAGAAGCGGGTGGATGGATGGATACATTTTGCAACTCATTAAAAAAAATCCATTATGGGGCTCCTAAAACATCGTTTCTGTGTGGATGTGATGTAACGGTATTCACACAAAACATTCCCGTGTGGACGGCAATTAAGGGGGCCAAGATGGTGTAGAGGCAGGGCAGCCAGCTTGGGACCCAAAAGTCCCAGGTTCGATCCCCAGTCACTGCACATCACGTGGTGTCTTTGGGCAGCACACCTCATCCCCAAAATGCCTCCCGGGTGCTTTCAATAGCTGCCCACTGCACCACCTGGTGGTGGATGGGTTAAATGCAGAGACTAATTTCGCCATTGTATGGAAACATACAGTGCTGACATTGTGATGACATTATTAAAGGAACCACATTAGACAACTCTGTATGTCATTTCATTAAACCTGTGTAGGATAAAGAAAAAAAACAACCTCAAGCTATCAGTTTATTTACTGTTTTCACAAAGTGCTAAAATATTCAAGCATGCAATTCCGAGTATCTGTGGTGTTCTACATTCATGTTCCTTTGCCATCTGTATGTTTAAAATCATTTCAATGAGGCTACATTAACCACACAAATTGCATCAATTCTGGTACTTATTACACAACATACAATAATGTATTTGAAAAGTAACCATGTAAAACTAAAGAATCCTTGACTTTAATGTCTACAGAGTTATGAGAGGACATGCCACCTGGACACAACTCTTACCTGTGGCTGTTGAGACAGTCTGAACGGCAGCCCTGCAGAAACAGACTTGGGTTGCAGACAAAGACCCCCAGATGTTGACATCTGTTGGTTCTGGAAATGGAGAGCCGAATGCGTCTGATTCTGGCCCGGCGATGGCGACTGCTGCCGCTCTGTCTTGGTCACTGCGCTCGTCATGACAGACATGGGCTGAGTGGCAGAATGGGGTGCCTTAGGGCTGAAGTGTAATGTGGGCTTGGTGCCAAGACCCTTTAAGTCCAACTGATGGGAACCATTGTGGTCGTTTGACTTAAAGAGGCAGTTGCTTAGGCCTTTATTATGAGACGCAATCCTGTTCTGGGTCAGCGGAGGTGGACTGGAGATCTTTACTTTGGGAAATGTGCTGGCTGCAGGAGCCCAACTGGTTATTCCCACATGTGGAGTTTGATGGTGGTGATGGAGAAGAGAATTTGGCTGCTGCTGGTTTGCTGCCATCTGCTTAAGCTGCTGTGCGTGTGATATTTCTGGCCAGCAAGGCATGGCTCTGCTGTGTCCCGCCTGAGAATTAGCTTTCTGCGATGTGTTGGTGGAAGAGGTGCTGGTCAGTGTAAAAGAGGGACCCGCTGAGGCTGGTCGAAGCTGCGGTGAGCCATCATGAGTCTGTCCAAAATCAGGCGAGTGCTCCGTTTTTATCATCTTAGCCACCGGGGTGCACAGATTGGCAGCTGCTCCTGCCGAGCTGGGTCGACATAGATCTAAACCAAAGGTGTCATCCTGCTTCAGCATTTTCTCCAGCTCCAGATCACTGAGAGGGGGCACTGTCTTTGTCAGTTCGTCAAACAGATCCTGGAGCTCTGGATCAATCTGACCCCCACCTTCATCTTTGATGTCAAAAATCATCTCGGCGCTTGAATGGCCGCAAGACTGGATCTCCATAGGCTCTTTTTTCATTTCCTTCAGCGTCATGTTGAACATGTCTGACCCCAGTGCATGAGGCATTACGTAAGGCTTCCTCTGCATGCCACTGTTTGAGGTCCCTTGTTGAGAATTGGTAAAGCTGTGGTTGTAGTTACCAGGATTCACTCCTCCGTCCACACACACACGCTTAAAGTCTGAACCACAGGCGAGGCCATTCTGCTTCGGTACGTGTCCTGGCGCACTTCCATCAAACTTCCTTCGCAGAGATCCTTGAAGCTGCAAAATAACACACACTGGATTTACACACTGAACGTACAAATAAAACATCAATTAATAAACTTCACTTCTATTTATTGTGTGAATGTTTATGAAGCAGTGATTGTGATCCATTTTTATTCTGTACGTTTTTCGGCATTTTTTTCATTCCACAATTTTGGTGCCATTTCAACAAATCATACATCAAAACATTCAGCTCTTCCACAAGAAGGGTGCTGTGACTTTTGGTATTGGTGCAACTTTAGCTTTTTGAAATATTTAGCCTTTTCTGACATTCTTTTTCCTCATAGAAAATTAATTGAGCTCATTTTACATCCTTCAAAATCTTTATATCTGTTTACAACCTTTTACTGCTCCTTTCACATTTTGTTCTGCTTCAGCTTCTTTCAGCTTCCTTGTTCATTTTTTCTTTAAATTCAGCTACTTTCAGCTGTTTTGGTGTCCTTTCAGATTCATTTTGCTAACTATAAATTTTTTGTGCTTCTTCTAACTTCTTTCTGCTAATTTCAGCTTGTTATGCTCCTTTCAGCTTATTTATGTGTTGCACCTTTTGCTGTCATTGCAGCTACCATTTAACTGTTTTCATGCAAATTTTAGCTTTTTCAGCTAATTCCACATTTTTTGCACTCATTTCAGCATTTTTTTCAGTCTAATTTAGTAAAAATATGCTCTGTCCACTTCCTTCTGGTAATTTAAGCTTCTTTCTGCCCTTTTAGTTACTATTCAGCTATTTTTTGTTGTTGTTTTGTTGTTGTTGCTAATTTCAGCTTTTTTCCAGATAATATCCAGTTATTTGTGCTCATTTCTGCTTCTTTAAGCGTAATTGGGCAAACGTGTTCTTTCTGCTTTCTTCTGGTAATTTAAGCTTGTTCTAACTTTTCACCTACCTTTTTAGCATTTGTTTTAGCTTATTTCAGCTGTTTTCAGATAAATTCGATTTTCTACCAATTTCTGCTATTTTCAGCCTAATTAAACTATTTCTGCTTATTTCAGTTTGTTTTTGCTCCTTTCAGCGTACTTCTACTAGTTTAAGTTATTTCAGCTACTATTTAACTGTTTCTGTTTCATGCTAATTTTAGCTTTTTTCTGTTAATTCCAGAATATTTGCAATAATTTAAACTTTATTCAGCCTAATTCAGCAAAAATGACCTCTCTCCACTTCCTTCTGATAACTTAAGCTTCTTCCGGCTGTTAGCTGTTGTTTTTTAGTAATTTCAACTTTTTTTTAGCTACTTTTCAAATTCTTCTGCTAATTTTTGATTATTCAAACCTATTTCGGTAAATACGTGTTATTTCTGCTTTCGTCTGCTAATTTAGGCTTGTTCTTCCATTGCAGCTACATTTCAGCATTTTTCTTTTAGCTCATTTCAGCTGTTTCTCAGCAAGTTCTTCTGCAATAAGCATTCACACTGCATTTTTGCAGGAAATGCAATTTCTCTAGTTTGTTTTGCAAGCTGAAATTTTTTTTCGGACTTCAACTATTGTTACAATTTTGAAAAATATTATCCGGAATCGCAAATGCAGATCAAAGTATCTACATGCAGATACATCCTACTTTATAACTCATTAAAAACACGGAAATTGGAAAACTGACCAGTTTGTGAAGTTTCGAGGAGACTTCAATGAAATGGCTTTATTACAGTTATCTATTCTGGTCTGCTAAATCATTCAGTTTGTATTCATTCAGAGTGCAAGCAAAACTTTACAAATGTATTTAAACTCTTGGAATTCAGTAATGAGGCTCTGGAAATGTGTTTTGATAGAATGTAGTCTGAGCGCAGTGGATGGGATGAGAAGATAGTTAAGAATCTGATACAGTCGATGAACCACAGAGGAAAGAATAGGTTCTTTGTCTGTTTCTCTAATTTGCATACATTATGTGTTCCTCCATTGTGCTTCGTTAGATAGCCGAGTTCCTCCTTTGTGGCTGAGATTCTACTTAACATGCTGCTGGAGATGTCTGATTTCCTTTTGTCCGATGTTCATGTCTTCATTTACGTATGAACGTGGCGATGACTCACACCTCTTCTATGAGACGCCTCCAAACTAAAAATTAATGAGTGCGCTTTCCAGCTTTCAAAAACAATAAAACCTTTTTTTTTTTAGCCTGTGAGTAGTTAACAAGAACCTATTGAGAAACAAATAATTTATCTGGAGGCAATCTCACGCTGTTGTATACACAAAAAATGGCTTATCTCAACACATTTTAATGTGGAGCCTGTATGGAAACAAAATGGATCTGAGTAGAGCAGGCTGAATGCAGGCGAGCAGGATCAGTGTGTTGTCTGTTTCACTGTGGGAACAAATTTGAGTCATTTCCACCTGCTGGCAAATATTACATTAAGATGACTCATAGCTCGAGGATTGGAATGAAACCTGCACTTTCCTACATTTCTCCTCACTTTGTCTGTGTTACGTTTGCAGCCATTACCTACGTTGTAGTTCAGAGGTAAATGAAATCATTTTATTAACTGTTCAAATCTGTTTGCAGCTCTTTTTATTAAAGCTAACGTGAGCAAGTTGCTCAGAATTATGATGAAAACAATGCTAACGTTGTATTGCTGAATACTGTTTCTATGCACCATTAGTGCATTTTCGGAGTGATTACACAAGCAGAAATCCAACAGTTATATCCTGTTATTTTTGGCGCAGCAGAAAAATTAAAGATGTGCTTTGGCTCGGTTTTATTGTTCACTCTGAAGAAGTAAAAAACACCTCAGAGCCAGTTTCAAATCTGTTGCACAGATTAAACTGCCAGCTGCAAACTTAATCCAATTAGAGAAAATGCATTTCTGTGAAAATGCAGTGTGAATGCTTATTCCACAAGAACTTGCTGAAAAACAGCTGGAATTAGCTAAAAAAAAAAAAAAAAAAAAGTTTTTGGACGAACAAGCCTAAATTAGCAGAAAAAACACATATTTGCTGAATTAGGTTTAAATAAGCACAAATGAGCCTAACAATTACAAAATTAGCTAAATGAAGCTGAAATTAGTAAAATATTAGCTGAAAAGTAGCTGAAAAAGCAGAAAGAATTGAATGCCAGAAGGAATTGAAAAGAGCTGAAATGAGCGAAAAAATGTAGAATTAGCTAAAAATCTCAATAATTTGCATAAACATAGCTACTGGTACATAGTAGCTGAAATAGCAGAAAAAAACTGAAACCAGCAGAAAAAAGCTGAAAGGAGCATAACAAGCTGAGATTAACATAAAAAAAAATTAGGCGGAAAGTAGCAGAAATTACCATGAAAAACTTGAGTTTATGTGAAAACAGCTAAAATTTGCTAAACAGCTGAAAAGGTAGAAAAAGCTTAAAGTATTGGGGAAAAAACCCCCCAGAAAAAACACATTTGCCCAATTAGGCAGAAATAAGCAGAAATTAGCACAAAAAAGTAGAAATTATCTGGAAAAAAAAAAGAGATTAGCAAAGAACAGCCAAAAAGTTGCTAAAAACACAGAAAGAAGCTGAAATTAAAATAAGGCAGTGGAGAGAGCACATTTTTGCTGAATTAGCCTGAAAAAAGTTTAAACGAGTGCAAAAAAAGTGAAATCAGCTGAAAAAGCTTAAATTAACATTAAACAGCTATATTGTAGCTAAAATAGTGGAAAAAGCTGAAACTTGCATAAATAAGCTGAAAGGAGCATAACAAGCTGACATTAGCAGAAAGAAGTTAGAAACATCACAAAAATGTTGTACCATAGTTAGCAGAAAGAATCTTAAAGGAAAACAAAACAGCTGAAAAAAAAGCTGAAAGTAGCTGAAAAAATGTTTAAATTTGCACAAGAAAGCTGAAAGAAGCTGAACCAGAACAAAGCGGTAGGTTTCCAGGTTGTGCTTGGAAGGGACTATTTTCTGCAAGTTTGCTTGCTGTGGCGACCCCGACAAGAAGGAAGCAGCTGAAAATCAGCAGCAATCTTTGGACGGTGCTCTGTTGTTCAGGCAGGACCATTTTCATCAACATTATAATAACAATAATAATAATGAGGTGAAATTATAGTAACGATTTATAGTTTTATACTTGTCGGTATGGCTTTCCTCTGGCCCCTCCCTGCCCTTCTGTGTGCAAAGAGAAATGCCTGAGGCAGTAAAAGAACCCAGACCACAGAACGGAGCAGCACCAACAACAAACATGACGCTGATTAAATCAGACACAGTTCGAAAACGAGGAGTTTATGTGGAAGTGGGCTGCAAAGCATCTTGAAGAGAAAGTGGCCAAAGTATGCAGGTCCTAATTTGAAACAGCTGATTGATCACCTGATCCGAGTGGATTTTGACAGTGACCCTCCTGAACAAGTCTAAGTTTTAGATGTACCGGTATTTGCTGGAGCTTTTTGAGCTCTCCTAAATTTTATCCGACTGTCAAATCACAACTAATGTAGAGGCAAATTACAACCCAGCCAGGAACCCTTAAAATACGTCTCACATGTAATGTCTTATACGTAGCAGGAACATGAAAAATATACAGAAGTAGTTTCAATACGTATTCAAGTATTATTACTTAAATCAAAATAAAAAAAATAATCACACAAAAAGAACAATACTGCAGTGTTTTTGAGTAATCTCATAACTTGTTAGCACTTGCTACACGTGGTGGGAATCAGCTATTAGCATACAAAATCTCAGCACGATATCTGTAAACATTCTGGCGGTGTATCCTGATGCATGCTCCGGCGGGGTACACATTTTTACCATACCATACCACTTTATTTATAAAGCACTTAAAACAGCTACAAGGCCAACCAAAGTGCTGTACAGACAAAACATTTTTGTTTTGTTTTGTGTAGGCTAAAGCCCATTAGCTGTGACGGCCATCTTGTTTTGGTTGATTCCAAAAGTGAATTAGTTGCAGTTGTATGTATGATTACTTTCTAAGAGTTTTATTAAAATCCACCCAGTGTTTCATAAAATATTTTGCTAACAGACAAACTGTAATGCCACCAACTGGTAATTACATATCCAATAAAGTTAAGTCAGGTCTTCTGGACAATTTATTTTTATTGAA